ATATGGAGGAGGCTCCTGACTAGATCTCTGCTTCCTGGAATTGAGGCTGAGTCATATAGAACCAGGATTTCCAGCAAAGGCCAGGGAAAGCTCAGTGAGACGTAAAAGAAGTGGATTAACTCTTGGCAGTCCTGCTGTGAGGTCCTCCCTCTGCCTAGACACACACAGCCATTAATGTCCTTTAACTTTGCAAGATGAAGAAGATATCTCTGTGTTCTGCATCTCCAGATGACTGTGCTTAGGCCTCATGCAGAGTCCTGGTTATGGTTGAAAAACAATTGCCAATTTGGGCTCTGTGAAGGCAACTAACAGACTGTGGAGTGGTGCTGAAATCCAGTTTTAGGCGCCAAATCCGAGGCTTTTAAATACATTTCTCTCTTTTGTCTCAGTTCCTTAGAGACAGGGCCTGTATTTTAAAGGTAAACAGGCAGATTCTGTCCGAGCTCAATTGCAGATTTGATTAACTTAGATAGATCAAAGACATTAGTAAAAAATAGGTTTCCCATCTCTAAAGTACTATAGTGTCAGCTCTGCCAGGGGAAGTATGGTGTAAGGCAAAGCGTTTGGAAGAGGGAAGAAAATTTCTTGCTCCCTCTTCTCACTGCCCACTGTAAATTTGCAATATCTTTATCTTGGCCTCCTAAGTCCCAAGAGCTGCATTATATATAATTGCCCATATATGATGCCATTTATTGAATTCTTGCATTGTGCTAAGGATCAAGCTTAGCACTTTACGTGCATTACCTCATTGTCTTTAGGGACCCCAAAAGTGCCTCAGTGGAGAGCTGTTCAGTCTGCTAAAGAGTGGGTACCACTTTCACTTCTCACATCAGTCCCGTCATTCATTCATCCAGCAAGTATTTACCAAACACCTGTTATGGGCCAGGAATTGTGCTAGGCACTGGTTACACATTGGTTAATAAACAGATACATTTTTTGCCTTTGTGAATCTTATAGTAGTAGAGACTAATAGGCTAAGGGGGGGTGCTGCTTGGCTAGGAATGTCATAGAATGCCTTTCTGAGGAGGTTACATTTAACACAGACTTGAAGAATGAGGAGTCATGCTAAGAATGGATTAGAGACCATTCAAGACAAAAGCAAACCAGATGTGTAAAGATCTTGAGGTAAAAACCACTCCAAAGAGCCAGACATGGTGGCCTGTAGTCCCAGCCACTTGGGAGGCTGAGGCAGGAGGGTTGCTTGAATTCAGGAGTTTGAGGTTACAGCAAGCAATGGTTGCACCACTGCACTTAAGCCTGTGTGACAGAGTGAGAGCCTGTCTCGAACAAACAACAACAACAACAACAAACTCCAAAGTCTATTCGAGGATCTGAAAGAAGGCCCGTATGGATGGAGTTTAATAGTAAGAGGGAGATTCGTAGATGAGATTGGAGAAAAAATAAAAATCAGATTATTGAAGAGACTTACATATCAGGGTAAAATGTTTATTTTTTTTTCTCAAGTCAATAGAAAGCCTAAAAGCCTAAGCAGAGGAGTGATATAATCTGATTTCTATTTTTAAAGGATTTTGCTGTATGTATGTTATACTTCAATTTTTCAAGAGGGACTTTAAGAAATAAAGATGACTCTGGCCACTCTGTGAAGGCTTGGAGAGAAGCAAAAGTGGAAGCAAACTGAATAAAGAGGCTATTGCTGCAGTTTAGATGAGCGATGATGGTGTCCTGAAAGAGTGGTGGCAGTGAAAACTGGAAGAAGAGGACAGAGTCAGGATATATTTAGGAGGCAGAAATGGCAGGTCTTGATGATGTATTATAAATGGAGAATGAAGAATAGAATAGAGAAAAATGAATAATTAGCTCTGAACTTTCTGGCTTGAGAAATGGGGTAAATGGGGTGTCATTTACTGAAACTGGAAGGATTTAGAAAGAAATAGATTCGAGGAATCAAGAGTTTGATTTCAGATTCCTTCAGTTTGGGATGCCCATGAGATTTCCAACTGGGGATACCAGATAGGCAGTTATACATGAGATTGGAGCACAGAGAGATGTGGGCTTAAAATATAAGTCTGCATCTCATCAGCTTATTCAGATGATATTTATATCTATGGATATGGCTGAGATCCCAAAAGGAGAGAGTGAAGAGAAAATAGAGAAGAGTCTAGGGCCAAACCCAAGGAAGCTTCAACACACAGATGAGGAGACTGAGGAAGAAGCTGACAAAGGAAACTGACAAAGAACAGCCAGAGAAAAAGGTCAGGAGAATGTTTTGACTTGGGAGGCCAGAATATGCTGCCCTAAAATAAAGATTGTTGAGCTGCAGGCAATTAAAAAGAAGCAGATACAGGCCCCAGGCCGGGCACAGTGGCTCATGCCTATAATCCTAGCACTTTGGGAGACCGAAGTAGGCAGATTGCCTGAGCTCAGAACTTTGAGACCAGCCTGGGCAACATGATGAAACCCCACTTCTAATAAAATAATAATAAAAAAATTAGCCAGGCATGGTGGCATGTACCTATAGTCCTAGCTACTCAGGAGGCTGAGGCACAAGAAATGCTTGAACCCAGAAGGTAGAGGTCGAAGAGAGCCGAGATCTGGCTACCACACTCCAGCCTGGGTGAGAGAGCAAAGCTCGGTCTCAAATTAAAAAAATAAAAAAGAAAGAAAGAAGCAGATACAGGAGAGGTCTTCTGCCCTCCATCTATTTGCCTAAAAGAACATAAATGTACAAAGACAAAATTTATCCTTCTTCCACCTCTCTCCTTTGCCTCCTACCAGCAGGGAAAACAAAGGTTAATCACTGAAGACAACTCTGGACTCTTATTGGCCTGGAAATGATACTGGAGGAATCATCTACATTAACATGCTTTACAAATTGGCCTTTATCTGCCATTCATTTGCCTTCCCCCAGGTAGCCACCCATTAGAGACTGAAAGTTCTAAAAGGTCTTTTCCTTTGTCTTACACTTCTTTAAAAATTTGCTTTTCTTTGTTGAAGAAGCTGAATTCTAAGCCACCTTTCTGAGAACTGCTCATTCTCTGGGTGTCTGTCATGTATATATGAAATATACATATTAATAAATTTCCGTTTGCTTTTTTTTCCTGTTAATCTCCTTTTCTAACCGGGGTCCAGTCCATGTAAGAACTTATTGGGGTTATTCTCCTATATGACAAAGAACTCATGAGACTAAGTCTTTCAAGAAAGGGATGACAAATGCTGCAGAGAAGTTTGATAATATGAGGACTAAAATGTGACCATTGCTTGTGGAAGTAACATAGTGAACTTGACATGAGTTATATTAGAAAATTACTGCTCACTGACAACAAATTAGAGGAGACTTAGAAGTGACAGGCAATTGAAATAGCAGATGTAGACAACCCTCAATTATGTTACGTAATTGAACATAAACAGTTTATTTGTTGGAGATTTTCACGTGTCCACCAAAAGAGCAGTGTCAGATACATAAACATTGCTGTGATGTCAGAGCCCCAATGTCATGGCCACTGGGATCACTTTGCCCAGACAGACCATTATCCTTCCTCTTTGGGTCTGACTTCTACTCTTCTAGAAGTCATTGGTATACTTTATGGTGTGTCTTCCAATTAGACTTTTGGGAATGGCTTCTATTGAAAACTCCTGTGGATGCAAATCATTTTCCCAGGACTCAGGTCAGATTTCACCTCCTCTGGAGTCTCCATTAACTTTCTCAAGTATAATTAATAATTTCTTTTTCTGAAGTCCCACAATACTTTACATATACCTTAGTTATTGCATGTATTAAGTTGGTTTCTAGTTGCTTGAGTGTATGTCCTAACTAGACTGTGAGGACATTGAGGGAAGGAACTTGGCTTGGAAAGTAAAATTGCCTCCCAATGCTTTAACTGAACAAATAGGCTCAATTTACAACAGGATTCCATCCTCTTATGCTGTGTATTCCCATCTCTCTTCTGCTTCATTCCACCACCCTTCAAGGTTATTACAATAAAATTAGGATAAAATAATTTTCAACTAATTTTTCTTGTTCTGGACAAAACAGCCATCCTAATACAGTTGTAGCTAAAGTTTAATCTAGTCACTAAAGGGAGCGTATTCTGCCTTTAGCCATTATATTTCCCATCCCATTCCCAGTCAAGATAATCACAACTGTATTCTTCAGGAAATTCTTCACAAAGAACCAAAAACATGGTACTATAAATCTAGATTCTTGGTATGCTGGTGAGAAAACCTGCCTTCTTGCTTGTCTCTAAATAATGACGTTGGCTGGGAGTGGTAGCTCATGTCTATAACCCCAACACTTTGGGAGGCCAAGGTGGGAGGATCTCTTGAGGTCCAGTGTTTGAGACCAGGCTGGACAACATAGTGAGACCTCATTTCTACAAATTTTTTTTTTTTTTTTTTTTTTTTTTTTTTTTTTTTGAGACGGAGTTTCGCTCTTGTTACCCAGGCTGGAGTGCAATGGCGCGATCTCGGCTCACCGCAACCTCCGCCTCCTGGGTTCAGGCAATTCTCCTGCCTCAGCCTCCTGAGTAGCTGGGATTACAGGCAGGCGCCACCATGCCCAGCTAATTTTTTGTATTTTTAGTAGAGACGGGGTTTCACCATGTTGACCATGATGATCTCGATCCCTTGATCCACCCGCCTCAGCCTCCCAAAGTGCTGGGATTACAGGCATGAGCCACCGCGCCCGGCCAAAAATTTTTTAAAAAATTAGCCCGGCGTGGTAGCATGTGCCTGTAGTTCCAGCTACTTGAAAGGCTGAGATGGAAGGCTGATTGAGCACAGGAGGTTGAGGCTGCAGTGAGCTATGATTTTACCACTGCACTTCAGCCTGGGTGACAGAGAGAAATTCTGTCTCAAAATAATTAAACAAATAAATAAATAAATAAGTAAACACTTGCCTTGCCCTCAGACTTGTAGAAACAACTCATGATTTTTAGCAGGGGGCTCAGCCTGTCTGTGCAGTACTTCTGTACTCTATCAGCAGTGTGGCATCAAGAGCACGTGTTGACCTTGTTAATGGTTTGTGATGTTTTGTCTTTCAGAACCAGAGGCAGGAGAAGTGTCCCCTCCGGTTGGTGCGGGTGTCAATAGCAACAGCTGGACCTTTAAATACGGACCAGGCAACCCCAAACAATCCGGTCCCGGTGAGTTGCCAGACAAATTCATTATCCCAGGATCTCCTGCAATCATCTCCATCCGGCAGGAGCCCACTAACAGCCAAATTGACAAAAGTGACTTCATAACCTTCGGCAAAAAGGAGGAGACCAAGAAAAAGAAGAAAAAGAAGAAGGGTAACAAGACCCAGGAGAAAAAAGAGAAAGGGAACAGCACGACTGACAACAGTGACCAGTGAGGTCCTCGAATGGAAACAAGCCACTTAGCCAGTTTTTGTAATAATGGCAAATCTCTCCCATGTAGCAACTCCCTGCTCCTTTCTCCTATCTACATGAGCCCTTTTAGAGACCTCAGAAATCTGCAGAAAGTTCCCTGTGTCTGTCTAGAACGCATTTAACAGGTTTTGTCTTAAAAGCTTTACTAAGTCTGGTGTTAACTCTTTCTCTCCACTCTGGCTTGTTTTCAGAACCTAAAAAGCAGACCCAAGTTTCCTTTCTCCTCCGCCGCAAAGGAGAGGCTTCCCAGCCCCGCCAGTGAGAGGTTGGACTCTCTGCCCTGTGCTCCGGGGATCCTGTCTTGATGACACTTGCAGGGCAGGCTGAAAAGTTTTGAGATTGAGCAGCTTGGGTATTTGTGGTCACTGGGTATGTGTGGCCACCGTGGGTATGGAAGTGCCAGATATTGGCTGAGACGGGCCAGCTTAGACTAATTGGTACAAGGAAGGCGAGAAAACAAAGACAAATAAACAGCGGAAGTTATCAGTGTGGAGGGGAAGTGTAAACTAAAAGGGACCAGACTTTCTAAATCTTGTAACTCAAGAGGTGGTGGCCACCCTCTAGGAGACACAACTACTCCCACTGACAAGGCTTTAGGACACCCTAAAGTCTGTTGGCTGTGATGTCATTATACCTAAAATCTGCATCATACCTTCAAGCCAACAGTTCAGTGTTTAACAGAGAACCATCCTGGGAAACAGAAGCAGATCTGATATGTTTCCTATTCATTTCCTGTGCTCACTTTATTAAAAATTCTTTTGCACACAATGTTTATGAAAAGGGCAGATCCTTTTCCAATACTTATGCAAAAGCAAAAGAAAACCCCGACACCTCACCTTTCGCTGTTTGTTGTTTCATAGATTTATTTAAAAAAAGAGAAAGTCTATAGCTATAAATCTTTAAAGAGAAATATGAATACAATTCCCCTAAACTCTCCTCAAAAGAGAATTCAGTCTACAGCCATTTAAATGATCATTGCTGCTACAGAAGTGCTTTAAGAGAATTGCCTGAAACATCTGTATTATATCGGCCACCTGCCAATCACAGCTTTACTCTTTCAGGTCACTCTGGGGCTGCCTCTTGCATGTATTAATTACTAAATAAAATTATCTCTTTCTCTCTCTCTTTTCTAAGAAACAATTATGTGCACTTTGATACACAACCTTCTCTAACCAACTATATCGAGACCCAAAAATTAAAGAAAAATATTGTTTTCTCATAGAGTGAGCAGATTTTTCAGCCCTCTAATTCTGTGACTTGTCTTGGTGTGCTAGCCTACACCTTCTCTTTGGTTTAGTTTTCCTTTTCTATAACACTCTGAATTGCTAATCTTACTAACACCTATGATGTTACCTGAAATCAATCTCCCATATGTATGCTGTATGCTATTATAAGACTCCTGAAATATACTTACTCTGTGCTTGTGTATGTGAATGTTAATGCAACTATTACCTAGAGTGAACTTTAAGCTTTATTGTTGAATGTAATTCCATTATATTTCCTTTTGTACACCTGTGAAAAAGTGGAGTAGTGTTTTTTTAACCATTGTTAATCAGCTTTTGTGTATGAAAGATACAGTAAAATTTCTTTCTTAAATCAAGATACTGGTGATTCAAGGAATTTTATTTATGGTCCAGCCAAGAGCCATCTCTTGCCAAGACTCCTGCTGGCAAGAGAACGGATAAAGCTGTTTTTTTCTAGTAACAATTTTGGAATGAATACTGACAATATTCCATGAGGGTGTGCAAGCACAAATTTGACCAATCTGACCTCTTTGAAGTTGTAGAATGCTTTGAAATTCTAATGGTTTCTGAAATATCAGCTCATAGAAAGTAATACAATTTACTGTCACCTTAAATAAGACATTTTAATTTTGTTACAATGTACAATTTAGAAGTTTGATTAATTATATTATCTATTTAGGTGTTAATATAAAAGAGGTAGGAGTCTGTGATTTAAAAACAAAGCATTAAATCTAAAAAAAAAAAACTGTCTTGTCTACTTTTAGCTTCATTCTCCCATATTTTGAAGGGTGTGTAACTTCAGCTCTGCAGGATTGCATGGGGTAAAACTTGTTGCCAACACATGTGAACCATTGCTACATTGTAGGTTGTGATCATTTTGCCCCACTGAAGCCCATGTATCTGACCTTACGTGCCTTTTGAACTAGGAGAATCGGGCTAATTTGTTAATGATGATAATTATAATGTATCTGTACAGCACTTTTTACCTTTGCAAAGTGCTTTCCAGTCCATGTTAGTTACTAGTTATTACAGCTGTAAGGATAAAACACGTCATGTGGATTCATTTTGAATTGGTGCTATTGGTATTTCCTCTGTTATTGCTAATAAATGAAAATGGTGGTATGAAAGAAATGGTGGTCATTTCTAAGTATAAGAGTAGGAGGAAATAGAACACTGATAAGCGATTAATATTGAAGAAGATTGCTGCAGTATGAAACTCACTGTAACACTCTATCACTTTAGCTTTCATGTTCATTACTAAGGCAGAAGCCCCAAAGGAATCAAGATTCAAACTCCAAATTACTAGAATGGGCAGCAAGAAGGTTGCTGCGTCACTTTATAGTTACACGATTTCAGTCGTTTCTAATAGGAATTGCGACAAATCAATTTTTATCACTAGAGTCCTTCCAGGCATCTTTTTCATTACTTGTTTAGTCCTTGCACCTCTCAACAACTGGAAAGCCAAGTAACATCCCCAAGAAATGAACTTTTAGGTTAGGGATGGTGGCTCATGCTTGTAATCTCAGAACTTTGGAAGGCCAAGGCCAGAGGATGGCTTGAGGCCAGGAGTTCGAGATCAGTCTGGGCAGCATAGCAAGATCCCATCTCTACAAAAAGAAAGAACTTTTATTGAGTACAGGTTATAAGCCAGCCATTCTACTGCATAGGTTCAGTTGTAACAAATAGATTGTTTTGTCCTTTTGTAGTTAATTTTTTTTTTTTTTTTTGAGACAGAGTTTCACTCTTATTGCCCAGGCTGGAGTGCAATGGCGTGATCTTGGCTCATCGCAACCTCCGCCTCCTGGGTTCAGGCAATTCTCCTGCCTCAGCCTCCTGAGTAGCTGGGATTACAGGCACATGCCACCATGCCCAGCTAATTTTTTGTATTTTTAGTAGAGACGGGGTTTCACCATGTTGACCAGGATGGTCTCCATCTCTTGACCTCGTGATCCACCCGCCTCGGCCTCCCAAAGTGCTGGGATTACAGGCTTGAGCCACCATGCCCGGCCTTGTAGTTAAATTTTTATAAACATAAGCTTTAGATGCAGTAGGTTCTCAGGAGCAATTTTGCCTTCCTGGGGACATTTGACAATGTCCAAAGGCATTGTTGGTTTTCATTACTTGAAGTGGATGGTGCTACTGGCATCTACTGGGTAGAGGCCAAGGATGCTGTGAAACACTTAGCAATGCACAGGACAGCCCCCTACAACAAAGAATTTCACAGCCCAACATATCAATAGTACCAAGATTGAGAAACTTTGAGATAGAGTGACCATAAAATTTGTTTAGTCCACTTTTAAAATGGAACAGGAGACATCATTAATTATTACTTCAATATTCAAGATGTAAATCTGGACTGTCCCAGGCTAACTGGGATTTATAAGGACTCTATAAATAAGCTGGTATAGCTGTACCACTAACTAGATGGGGAATTTGGGATAAACCACTACTCTCAGTTTTTCAGTCATCTCTAAAATGGTAATAATTACAGACCCTATAGATTTGTGAGGTAATCTTGAAAAGTTTTTAGCAGGTCTGGCACACCAGAGTACTTGATAAATATTATTACTATTAATTCTTTTCTTCCATTCCCTCACCCCCTTTTCAGAGATTTAGCTATTAAACTAAGGGAACTTTTCCTATGGACTAAAATGTGAATGAGGAATGGCAAAATAAATCAACATAGACTTGGCAACAAAAATACTTTATTTACTCCCCCACTCTTTTGCTCACCGCAGGAGGAACAGAAGTAAAGTCAGTTTCATAACTCTTTGCCTATTTCTATTGCAAATAATAATCAGGTCCCTAAGTAAACAGTCAAGTGGCCAGTCTGTTGGCAGTTATTTCACCTCAATTATCAGTGATCTGAAAACCAGAAACCAAAAGATTTGAAGTCACTCTGCCTGTTTACATGAATAAATCCTATGTGATTCTAGGAACAACAGCTTGAGAGAGAAAGAGAAGAGTCACCTCCAACAACTTCTTTTGGCAGATGGGCAAAACAGAAATGCCAAATCACCCACAGACTTGCCTGGGATTTCACAGGCAATAAAGGACAAGACAAGGTGTATCTCTCTCAAGGGCCAGGCTACTTGATATGGTCTCACAAATACAGAGTGCAGGATTTGCTCTATAGAAATATTGCAGTTGGCCGGGCGTGGTGGCTCAAGCCTGTAATCCCAGCACTTTGGGAGGCCGAGGCGGGTGGATCACGAGGTCGAGAGATCGAGACCATCCTGGTCAACATGGTGAAACCCCGTCTCTACTAAAAATACAAAAAATTAGCTGGGCATGGTGGCACGTGCCTGTAATCCCAGCTACTCAGGAGGCTGAGGCAGGAGAATTGCCTGAACCCAGGAGGCGGAGGTTGCGGTGAGCCGAGATCCCGCCATTGCACTCCAGCCTGGGTAACAAGAGCGAAACTCCGTCTCAAAAAAAAAAAAAAAAAAAAAAAAAAAAAGAAAGAAAGAAAAAAAAAGAAATATTGCAGTTGATCCAGTTTTAAAGGATGAGTTTCTCCAATGAGTGTCCAGAGCCTTGGTGGTTGGATTTTAGTCTCCTAGGTAAGATTGTAAGTGCCAAGATCTCATAGTAGTATATCTTATGCTTAAATTATATAAACATTATGTTTAAGTTACAAACCCAATCTAAAGTACAAATGTAACTAACCAAACACTAATGTAATTTTACTGTTAAATCTAGATTTAATAACCATCCAAATATTAAGAGATACAATAAAACAAGTAAACAAACAAAACTACAGATACATTTCCTAAGGACTTTCAGTCCCGTGAGCTTCTCCAGGAAATGGAAAGTTGGCCACTCTTTGACCCTATGTCATATTTTCATGTGCTTCTTCTCCTTGTAGAAAAAGCCGATTACATTATTTCCCCTCAAATTAGCTTGACTGTTGACTGGCAGGACACACCTTGCAACCTGAGAAATTTCTTCTGGCTTTATACACACACACACACAGAGGGGGGCTTTAGCAAATGAGCATGGTGCTATCTTCCCTTTGAAATTGTGCCTGAGAGTGGCACATAGCAACCTTTTTATTATAACCAGTTAGGTAAAATGCTTGCTGGGTCCCATTTTCTCTTGGGGTTGATCCATGGGGAAATGCCTGCTGACATATGAAATCGTTGTTTGCCCTAATAAAGTCTATCAGCTTATCTTTGAACTTAAGCTCCTCTGAGCTGGACATTAGTAAATTTACTTTCATAATATGGACTCTAGTCTGCATAAAGAAATAAGAAAATAGGTAGTGAAAAACATGAACTCCAGCATTCTGTTAGGTTACACAATTGTCAAGTGACTTGGGATCATCAATCCACAAAAAACATGAGCAAGTCAGACAACCACTCAGCCAGTAGCTGGTCTTAGAGCAGAACTAAAACAATTGGTACCAGATGCATAAACATATAGGGGAATTGACATAACAGTTCTCATTTTAGGGTTGGCTTTCACTAGACTTACTTAATTTTTTTCTTTTTTTGAGACAGAGTCTTGCACTGTCCCCCAGTTTGGAGTACAATGGCCCGATCTCTGCTCACTGCAACCTTCACCTCCTGGGTTCAAGTGATTCTCCTGCCTCAGCCTCCCAAGTAGCTGGGACTATAGGCATATACCACCACGTCCAGCTAATTTTTTGTATTTTTAGTAGAGACAGAGTTTCACTCTGTTGGCCAGACTGGTCTCGAACTCTTGACCTCATGATCCACCCACCTTGGCCTCCCAGAGTGTTGGGATTACAAGCGTGAGCCACCACGCCTGGCATACTTTATTTAATTTTATTTGACATTAAATTTTTATTATAAAAGTACTATGTGTTCTTTTAAATAAATCAAACCAGAATATATATATAAAGAAAAATTATTAATCTCCTCACCGGCTTCTTTCAATTCTCTCTTACACAGGTATCCAATGTTAATGATTTCAACTGTGTTTTTCTGCATTTTTCTCTATACACACGCATATCACATACAGGTAGGTTTAAAAATAATTGTTTTCTTTTTTTTTTTTGAGATAGGGTTTTGCTCTGTCGCCCAGGCTAGAGTGCAGTGGTGGGATCTCAGTTCACTGCAACCTCCATCTCCTGGGTTCCAGTGATTCTCCCACCTCAGCCTCCCAAGTAATGGGGACTACAGGTGTGTGCCACCATGCCCAGGTAAACTTTTTTTGTATTTTTAGTAGAGACAGGGTTTCACCATGTTGGTCAGGCTGGTCTCAAACTCCTGACCTCAGGTGATCTGCCCACCTTGGCCTCCCAAAGTGCTGGGATTACAGGCATGAGCCATTGCCCCCAGCCTGTTTTCTTTTTTATATAAAAACAAAATGATTCCATGCTTGTTGCCCTGTGGATTAAAAAAAAAATTACGTAACATAAAGATTTCTTTCAGGTCATTTCTAAATAATTCTTTTTAATTTCTATATAAATTCCATATAATGGCTAGATTGTAATGTCATAATGCATTTAATTTTTCCAGATTTTTGCTACTCAAAACCAAGAATAGCACTTGTTTGCAATGATAGATTTAGTGCCTGAGCCTTATAAAACTTGGTCTAGGTATATTCCAAAAAAAAGTTTGGAAGACTATTATTAACTTTATAAGACTCCCTCCACAGTAATCACGTTCCTTTACTAGAACTCACTCTTTCCTAGTATTCAATGATGAATTGTGGCTCTATTTATAGATAAATGGTGAAAAACAGAGACAGATATTCACAAGAA